TGGAATCACAGGAGCAGAATCTTGACCAATCAATCAATCCCCAGACTTGAGCCAGAGGGCCCTCACTATACTGCCAAAAATAGCTACTGTTAATCTTCCTCCCACCCTAACCAAAAGAAATCTATGGCTTTTTACAAGCCTGGATGTTCATTAGAACATATAAATAATGACATTTCCCCAGGATTATTGAACAATGGTTCTAAATGGACACTAATTCCAAGAGACTCAAAACATAACTGTGGTCCATCAGTGATAGGAGGGGGCATGTGGAGGTGAGGCTGTTCACGGAGTCTTAGCTCAGCTCTATCTCACAGTGGATCCAGTGGGAAATCCTCCCGTAATGTCCCCAGCTCCAGAAGGCATCATTGGAATAGACACACTCAGCAACCAGCAGAATCCCCACAATGAATCCCTGACATGTGGAATAGGGGATACAAGGATAGAAAATGTCAAGTGGAAGGCATTAAAACTGCCTCTATGTAGGAAAACAGTAAACCAGAAGAACTACTGCATTCCTGGAGGAATGACAGCAATTAATCCTGCCATCAAGGACTTGAAAAATGCAGGGATGGTAATTTCTGCCACATCTCCACTTAATGTGCCTGCTTAGTCTATGCTCCTTAGAGACAAGGATGGCGAGATAGTCTCACATACTTTGGGCATGTTGTCAGAAAAGGCCAGTCCTTGGGGGGAAAAAAGGCATCAAGCTGGGAAAGGTGGAGGTGAGAGAAAAAGGAGAAGACCCTCAACAAGGTGGACCCACACAGTGACTGTAACCATGAGCAAGATTCAGATCCATTGTTCATAGAGTTTCTATGAGTCATAGTTGACTCACAGGTACTTAACCACAAAGACAATTTGGTCTTTACAAAAAGTTGATGGATCATGGAGAGTAACAGTTGATTTTCATAAACTTAACCAGGTTGTCTCCAATTGTAGTTGTAGCTGGTGTCCAGATGTGGTTTCATTGCTTGAACAAATGAATATATTTCCTGGGACCTAATATGCAGGTATAGATCAATGCTGTTTTATCCAATGTAATTTCAAAGGTTCATCAGTAGCAGTTTGCCTTCAGTCAGCAAGGCAAACAATACACTGAAACTATCCTACCGCAGGGGCATATAAACTCTCCAGCAATATGTCATAATTTTGTCCAAAGGGACCTTGATTGTTTTCCCTTTCCACAAGATGTCACTCTGATCCCTTACACTGCTATTATGCTAACTTGACCTAGTAAAGAAGTAGTACTAGTGACCCTACACTTACTGGTAAGACATTTACATGCTTTGTTTGGTGCTGTTTTTATTGTTAGGTTCCATCAGGTTGAATACTAGAGGGTGGAAAAATTAACCCAACAAAAATTCAGGAAACTCTGTAAAATCTAGGAGTCCAGTGGTGTGGGCTAGGCTGAGATAATTCTAACGTGAAGGATGAGTTACTGCATTTGGCACCTCACACAACTAAAATGAGACACCATCCTGATGGACCTCTTTGGATTTGGAGACAACACATACCTCATTGGGATGTCAACTACAGCCCATTTATCAAGTAACTTGAAAAGCTGCTGACTTTGAGGGAGGCTCAGAATAGGTTCAGGCTGCTGTGCAAATCATTGGCCAGAGGATCCATTTGATCCAAAGTGTCATTGGAAGATAGAAATGCTGTTTGAAATATTTCTCTTCACACCCCTGCTGGTGAATCATAGTGCAGACCCTTAGGATTTTGGAGCAAAGCCTTGCTAGCCTCTGTTGATAATTGCTTTCCTTTTGAGAAACATCTAGTAGAGACTGAATGGCTAACCATAGGCTATCACGTCACCATGTAGCTGGAGCTGCCCATCATGCACTGGGTGTTGTCTGAGACAGAGTCACAAAGAATGTGCACAGCAGTGCTCCATAATGAAATGGGAATGGTACACACAAGATGGGGTTCCAGGAGGACCTCAAAGTAAAATTACATGAGAAAAGTGGCCCCAATGCATCTTCACTTCTCTCACATTACCTTCCCTATCTGCACCTATGGGTTCATGGGAAGGTCATTACAATCAATTCACTGAAGAAGAGAAAACATAGCTGCCTATGATTTTCTAGGAAAGGCTATTCTTGGAAAAGTGGAGGGTCAGTGAAAGAGAGAAAGACCCTCGGTGAGATGGACTGTGACTGCAGGATGGCACAGCATAGGGCAGGGTTCAAATGTGTTGTTTACAGGGTCACTATGAGTTGTACCTTAACGGCACCTAAAGATTTTCTGGCTTGGCAGTTGTGGTCGTTCCCTTGATGAGAGTTGATGTGATGTTATCATTCCTTTGATGGGATTTGCTAGGAGTTTGCTAGTCAGTTAAGGAGCATTTAATCAAGCATATGGCCCGCATGAGCACATGAGGCCTGGGGGAGCTGGCTTGTTTTGGGCTGTCTCCTTTGTGCATCTTTTTATTTCCTTAGACCAACAGACTGCCTTATCCCTGACCTTGCATCCATCAGCCTCTTCAGCTGTGTATGTGTGTGTGTGCGTGCACGCGTGTTCCTTTGTTTTGCTTCACCAGGGAACGTAGCCAAAGGCAGCCCTCAGCCCCTGTACAATGGATCAAAGAGTTTGTCCTGTCTTGTGCCATCAGTTGTGGATCAAGCCACTTGGCCTAGTTGGTCCTCTATTCCTGATGGGGCACATGATTAATTTCTCAGGGTAAGTGCCTGCCACAGGGTCAGAAAACCCCATAGTTCCAGCCATGATTAGGGACGGTGGATGGAGAGGTAGGGCCCAAGTGCAGGGCACTTTACAGCTTACCAACAAATCGTATGAGGTTGGTGTTCATTACCCTCATTTTCCAGACAGGAAAACTGACACATGCAAAGGGCAAGTCTTTGTTTGTGAAGCCACACAATGATAGAGACTGAATGTGAACTCAGGTCTGTGTGGCTCATGAGCCCTATTCTTGTAATTGTTCCTTCCCACTGCCTGCTTCCAGGGCTGGCAACACCTCCCCCCAGCAGAGATGGACTGTCTTCACTGGTTGCTAACTTTCGGATAGGGTTATGATGTAAGTGCTGGCAGAGAAAGTTGGTCTAATCCAAGCCCCCTTGCCTACCAGGGTGGGAACCTTGTTTCTCCTCCTCTGTAAAATGGGCACAGTATCATCTGATACGGCTGCTGCTTTGTGGATTATGTACCACTCCCTGGGACAAAACAAGCAGATATTTGTCAAAAAGAACAGTACTGATCACTGACATACTTTAACTTTTAATTTAATACAAATTCGTTATAATTCACAAAAAAGGGTAACATTTTAAATAAAAATACCGAGTAGCCCAGAGATTTTGTAGCTAAAAGTATGGAGAGAGAACTCCTCCTTCCAGGGGAGGTCCCAGTGGATAGTGGTTGTGAGGTGGGTGCTCCCGAGGGTCAGTCAGTGTGGTCACAGACCCCAAGAGCGGAATCAAGACTCCAGGGCTAGAAAGGCCGAGGCTCAGCTGACATTGTGCCCTGGTCCTGGAGGCTCACAGCTCAGGCTCCTGCCCATGGGCAGGGACCGAACCATAAACCCTGAGGCTCTGCTGCCTCTAAGTCCCATTGCAGAAGTGAACTCCAGTCTCTCCTGGGATTTTCTTAGTTGGATGCTGCAGCAAAATCCATGGACGAGCTTATTCAATATTTCTTGTAACTTCCTTTAGTGTGCCTTTTGTATTGCTGAGGCAGGAAAGATTTAAAAACTACATTTCTCACAATCTCCTGCAGCTAAAGAGCTGGGACCCCACTTCAGTTTTCCCCAGTCAGGATCCCTGACAAAGATCTGATTCAGGGGCTGAATAGAAGAGAGGCAGGCCTCGGGACATTCGTTTGCTGACATGGACGGTGGCAGAGGAAGCCCAGTTCTGCAGCCAGCGGCTCCTGACACGGGGTTTCCTGCAGGCAAGGGCAGCTCTCCTGGTCACAGTGGAGGCATGATGAGTCAGGGGGCTGTGAAAAACCCCTAGAAAGTCACACAGGGCCTCCTCTCCTAGCCTTTCCAATGATTTTATAAGTCTCCAGGAACTTGGTAATAAATAAATAAATCCTTTGATGGTTTAAACTAGCTAAATGGGGTCCTGTTGTCTTCCACAGAATCCTAACTGAAACATACGCCAAGTCAGAGAAGGGGGCTCAGCCAATGGCCCCTCCCAGTGCTTAGGCCATGACCAAAACAACAATTCTCAATAGCTTCCCCACACACTAGTCAGGTGGCAGAGGTCAGGCTGCTGAAAGGTGGCTGGATCCTTGCAAAAGGGCGTGTTGATCACACAGCGATGCTTGTCTTGCAAGGATATTTGGACAGATGGGCTGTGTGTCACTCTCCACCTGTCCTTAGGCCTGTGGGCAGAGAGGTGGTGGCACAGTGACTGTCACATGCGCCCAACGACTGGGTACCATCTGCAAGTTAGCACCTTCTCACAGCATCATCTCTGACCAGCGAATCAGCAGGAAAAGCAGGAACAGGGAGCTCATGGTATGAAGATGACAGGGGAGGGTGGTTCTCACAAAGCCCTAGGACCAGTTACTGTGGGATGAGGTCAAGGGTCAAATGACCCATCACCAGCTTGGTCCCGGGCAAGTCTTCCTAGAGCGTGGAGCATTATGAAGATTCTGTGTCTCTTTGAGCTGCCATCTGCTGGTAAGACCCTGACATATCCTGAGTCCAGGGCACCTGGGTAGGAGGGAGACAGTGGATGGCATTTCCCTGCCCCTGAGAGGACAGAGATGAGGGCTGGGGAGCAGGTTGACTGGAAGAGAAGGCAGACCACATCCTTAGACCAAAGACTGTGTCCCCAGTTAAGATCAGAGTTACAGAACATCAGTGCTGGAAGAGAGCTTAGGAATCATGGAATACAACCTCCATTGCCCAGACAGTAACCTAGCCTGAGGTCTCAGGGGGGCCAAGGCAGGCTGCTGTCCAGGCCATCTGGTTCCTGGCGGGGTTCTTGCTGGTGGCCGAGGTCCTGGGAGGCTGTGGTCTTGCTCAGGCCACACTAGATGCGGATGGTGTTGATCCGCAGTGGCTGCACATTCTTGCCGTTCGCGTGGCTCTGGCCAGGGCTGAAGTAGGAGCAGAGCTTGCCTGGGAACTTCTCGCGGAAGGTGTAGAGCCAGGACATGTCATCGGCGTTGTAGAAGATGAGCAGGCCTTGGTCATAGTCCAGGAAGACGCCCACCTTGTCCAGCTTGTCGCGGACGTTGAGCCGGGTCCAGGGCTCTGTGCAGGCGCTGTACTGGTTGCCGTCGTGCATGACGATGCAGTAGAAGCCGCGGCTGGGCTGGATCTGGATGCTGCCCTTGCGGCTTGCGGCCTCGTGGGCCAGCCCGATCACCCACTGGGTCTTCTCTGCCACCACCACCTCCCAGTAGTGGACGCCACTGCTGAAGGCCTCAGAGCCCAGCACTGACACCTCAACGTCGAAGCGCTTGGGCGAGTCTTGCAAAGGCTGGGGGTGCAGGTTGCCATAGGCAACGATGGTGCAGTCATCAGATAGGATCAGGCGCTGATGGGCAGTGCCCGGGTCTAGGGTCAGGGCGGCTGGCACTGTGGAGAGAGAGCGAGATGATGAGTGGAGAGAAGGCTGTGGGTTCACTATGTGGTTTCTCTCTGAGGACAGGGTTCTGGTCCTCAGTCAGCCACTGACCCGCTCTGTGAGAATAAATACAACTCTCACTTCAGATGGAAACCTAGTCCAAGGAGGATGGACTTTTCTCTTATACATTGTTGGTGGGATTCTACTCTGGAAGGCAGTTTGGTGCTTCATATAAAAGCTGAACACAGAAATTCCTTATGACCCAGCTATTCCACTCTTGGAATATACCCTGAGAAAAGAAGAACTGAGGCACAAACAGACTTGTACGCCAATATTTATAGCAGCGTTATTCACCACTACAAGAACATGGAAACAGCTCAGAATGGAATGGATTGAGAAATTATGGTACATTAATATAATGGAATACAACACAGCACGCAGGAGCAGCGATTTTGTTAATTATTACCTAACTTGGGAGGAACTAGAAAGCATTATGCTGAGTGAACTAACTCAGACCCATAAGGACAAAGATTGTATAAAACCATTATTGTAGAATGAGTATGAGGATCCAAAGGGGGGAGAGGGTGCAAGCAGAGGGATGAGGACGTGCAGAGGGGAGGGGGAGTAATCATGGGGTTGTACAATTTGATTGGAGGTGGGTGAGAGAAATTGGAAGACTGGTCTGAGAAACAATGTATTCCAATTTTGTAAATAAACTAGCATAATAATAAAAATAAAAAAAAAGAGGAGGACGGGCTGTAGCTGCTTGCTCACATTTCTATCTTCAAAAAAATCTCTGATGCCCCACTTCCCACTCAGGTCCAGTGCCTTTGTTCAAGCTCTTCCTTTGCTCCGGCTCTTCCTTCCCATGTCCTCTCTTCCCAGAAGTTCAGTTCCAGTGGCCCATCCCCTGGGAAGCCTTCCTGGTCACCCAGCGGGTGGACTCACTCTCTCTTTGAAACCTTTTAACTCTGTGCTCCTCTCTTGCCTGGAGTGTGGTCTTCTGTGTCCTTTAATCTTTCCCAGAAGGGCAGTAACCAGGTATGGCCCAGCTGGGGGTCTTCCCAGCGCCTAGAGGACTTCCTGGTATGACACACGTTACCCCAAAGCCTTGATAAATTCAGTTGATCCTGTTTATGTTCTTCAGGCGGGCAACACAGGCTGGGCCTCTTGGCTGTGTGCTGGCCACACCGGCTTAGCAGGTCTGGTTCTAGATGTCTCACAATCCTTTGTCACTGCCTCTGTTTACTCTTTCCCCCACTGAGGTTGCTGGTGACCAGCCAGAAGGAGCCCTTCCTTGACTTGGCTCTTGTTAGCCCGTCTGATGATTTTCAGGCCAGGGCAACACAAGAGGAGGGAAGCGAAGGAGAAGAATCTGACCACCTGTTTCCTCTGGAACGAGCTCTCCGGCTTTTCCCTTATTTGGGGGGCAAGGCAGTGATGGCACTTGACTAGAGAATTATCCATCTTCAGTTGCCCCTGTGGGTTGCAAAGATACACGGAAACCAAATACCTCAACAAGGGTGACTCTACAACAGAGAAGAACCAGTCCCCCTCTTCCTTCACCCCTTAGCAAAGGTGACTTCCGGCAAATTCCTTCCACGATCATTATCAGGAGTCCACTAACATCTGCATTTAACACGCCTCTTTCCTGTTCTTAGTATGTGGAGTCAGTGCTGAAACCATTGGCTCTGTGCCTAGAAGGGGTCAATGGCAACACAATCCTCTCTCTCTGTCCAGGGAGGCTGAGGAGGGGGGACCATGAGAAGACAGACAGGGGAGGACGGTTTCATCCAATAGTCTGACTGATCATAGGGTGGTCTGTCAGAACCAGAAAGCTCCTGCCTCTTGGAATGTGGGGAGCTATCTCAGTAGGGTAGGAGTTTAGAGGTGAAGGGGCATGATAGGACTGAGGGCATTGTGTCCAGGAGGAGTTGAGACCTACAACAGGTGAAATGGCAGCTCAGAGCAGGACCAGGGGAAGACTGGCAAGAGGGCACGTGGGCACTGCCTCAGGCTCTCAAGTCTATGTAGGGCGACATGGACCATTTCCAGCTGCTGCTGCTGCTGACCGAGGAACTGACTCCAGGAGGCAGCCAAGTGGGTTCTCAGAGGTTTAGGGGTGGCAGCGGCTGAAGATGAGCCTGCAGGAGGAAGGAAACCCTGACGGCAGGGAATCCCAGCTCCTGAAGGTGAACAGCACCAGAAGTCTCCGGTATGGATGAGGGCAGGACACTTTCCCCTTCCACCGAGCAGACCTAGGGCCTTGGTGACCAAGGTTAAGCTCTTGGTTGTTCACCAGAAAGTCAGTGATTTCAACCTGCTAGGAGCGCTGGTGATGGGGTACAGAAAGGCTGAGCCTTTCTGGAAGTTCAACCCCACACTCCTGCGGGAGTTACAGCCTCAGAAACCCAATGGAGGGTCAGTTAAAGAGTCGGTCTGACTTGACCGTAATTAGCAGGGAAAGCAGGTCCACGGGAGAAAGAAGTGGCAGTCGGCTTCCGTAAAGACTGAGAGCATTGGAAACCTGTGGGGTCACTATGAGTTGGAACTGAAGAGTTCGTTCTGTTTTTAAGGATGGGGATGTGGGGGAGTGGCCATAACGGACATTATGGGCAGGGCTAGGGGGTGGGGTCTGACTGCCAGTGGACAAGGCCCCACCTCCCAATGGGGTGGGGACTGGGAGCGCATGTGACAGGGGGCGTGACCTGGCTCCCACGCTATTTACACCCAGGGTGGGGGCCGCTTCAGGGCCTCCTCATCACAGACAGAGGGTCCTGTCTTCTAGGCCTCCTCCCAGGGGCTACAGTTGGCAAAAGTGAAAGTCTTCAGACCAGAGTGGGGGGATGGCTGCCCTTCCCCCTCTGGGAAGCTAGTCTCTGTGCGGGGTAACCCAGCCTCTATCCTGGGGGAAGATGAGACGCAAGGTCAAAGGGCATGTGAGAAGGATCAGGGGGTGCTGGGGCCTCAGGAAATGTCTTACAGCAGCAGAGAACCCCCTCCTGGTGCAGATCCCTGGCAGCCACCGCCATTACAAAGCCAGTGGCTTGTACCTCTTTGTTCTCAAGGACTCAGCTTCAAGCCTGCAGAGGCTTGATAGGGCAGGAAATGCTCTTTCCGCTCTCGCTGACTAGGCCTTTAAAGAATTTGGTCCCTCAGGCCTTCCACCCACTCAGGCCCTCAGCTACACAGTGTGGGCATTCCCAAACTATCTTTAGAGCTTCAAACTCTTGTGAGCGTCAGAGCCGCCTCAGGGACACCAACTACTGTACCCACTTTTCACAAGAAAAAACAAAGGCTCCAAGGAGACGTCTCTGAATTAAGCAACTTGCAAAAGAAGCTAGTGGGGTGCAAGGAGAGTTGGACCTTGAGCTGAGGTCTTTGCACACTGTGTTCTTTTCATCATGAGGCCACAAAAAGAACCATCTGGTGTGTCAAGACAAAAACAATAAACAAGTATCAAGCACTTACTAACGACTAAGATTAATATTACAAATACTCACATTTCATTCTCACAACCATAGTGGGAGAGAAATGCAACCAACTCTGATGAGGAAACAGGCGGGAGTGATGTGTTCTGGGTTACACAGCAAGGCAGTAAATACACGAGGACATATTTGGGTAAGCAGGGGGGAAGAGAGGCAAGGAAGGAGGCAGGAACCAAGGTAATAGTGTCTGGTGTCTTTGGGGCAAGGGGTGGCCAGGCCTGGCTGGGGAGGAACTGGGGCCTGGAAGCTGGGGTGATCAGGCTGGGACAGTGGAGAAGCTTCTAATGTCAGGTGAGGGGCAGGGCGGGGTGGAAGAAGGGAGAATAGCGGAGATTTCCCAGGAGGGGAGTGACAGGTGTGAGGTGAGGTTCTCAGGTGACTCAGTAAGAAGCTGGGGCTTGCTGGGGGTAGGGCTGGAGCCTGCTACAGTCTACAGGCTAGCTCCCTGGGGGCACCTTCCCCTCCCATCTGGACATAAAGGCCCTTGGTGCTTTTTGAGGAGCCAGACTGACTTCACAGGCTCCAAAGACAAAGGAAGGGGTCCAGCCAAACAGGCAGCTATTCTCTGAATTCCCCAGGGGCTTCTGTGTGCTGCCCAGCACACAGCTGCTCCCCAGCCTCGCTCCTGAAGCAGTTTTCTCAGGGGCACTGGCCTCATGCAGAGCACTTTTACCCGCAGTGGGCATCTGGCGATATCTGGAGACATTTTTTAATTGTCACCTCCCTGGAAAAGGTGATCAGAAAAAAATTCCCAACAGCTCTCCACCCTGCCCTATCTGCTTTGATGTCTTCCTGGGACCTGATGGTACAAGCTCAGCTGTGAGCAGTTGCTGGCCCTTCAGTTGTGCCTCGGACCCCCCTTTGGGGTGATAGAGTCATCCTTGCAATCACACTCTGCTCCAAGCACAGTTGTACTCTCTCCACTGAGTTTTTCAAACAGGCTATTACTTCTTCCATCTTGAAACGAACATGTAGCTACTGCTACGTTTTCTTTCCTGCCTTTAATCAAGGCTCCTTGAAAGCACTGTCTTCATCTGGCATCTCCACTACCTCCCCTCCCAGTCTCTCTTGATGAGCTCCAACTTGACTCTCTCTCCTGTCACTCCACCACCACAGTTCCTGTAAAGGTTACCAATGGCCTCTGGGTTGGGAAGGTCAGCTCTCAGTTCTCTCGCTCATGGCTCAGTGGTCTCTGCCATCACTGACCACTCCTGGGAACACCAGGACATGCCTGGGCCTCCCTCTTCTCTCTGGTTGCTCTCTGTCTTCTTGGCTGAGTCCTCCTCCCATCCCTGACTTCTAGGAATGGTCTGGGGCTTCAAATGCTAGCACTAGCCTCCTTTTTCCTATCTCAGCTCACTCTCGAAGTGAGCTCATCCAGGTTCATTAAATATCATCCATTTGCTGATGAGGCTGCCCATGACCTCTGTTCTGCAGTCCAGATGTGTAACTCGAGCTACCTTCTCAATATGAGCGCTTAGAAATTGAATAGTCATAGCAAACTTCACAGGTTTAAGACTGAACTCCTGACCTCTCTCCTAAAACCTGCTCCTCCACTAATGGTAACTCCATTCTTCCCCAGTCACGTAGGTGAAAAGCCTGGTAGTCATGCTTGTTTCTCTGACCTGAGATCCAGTCCCTCAGCAAATCCTTATTGGTTCTAACTTTCAAATACATAGTCAAACCAACCCCTTCTCCACTGCCATCACCCTGGGCTCATCTCTCACCGGGGTCATGGCTGTCACCTTTTAACTGATTTCCCAGCCCCGACCCTTGTACTCTTCAGTGTTTTCTGAGCCCAACAACCAGAGGGATCCTTTTAAAGCCTTAAGTCAGCTAACTCACTCCCCTGCCCCCAACCCTCTAAAGGTTCCAATTTCACTCAATATAAAAGTCTAAATTCTAACATTGACTTGCAAGCTCGCCTGATCTCCCTCTCTTAATAAGAATTCTTATCGTGGCTATTACTCTCCTCACCTCAACTCCCTCTCTCCTTCCCTCTGGCTACTCTGGTCACCTCTCTTATTATTCCTTGAACATGACAGGCACTTTTCTGCCTCCGGGCCTTTGCATTTGGTGTTCCCACTGCCAGGAATGATCTTCCACCAGATACTGATGTGGCTCACTCTTCTTTCTTCAGTCTCAATGAGGCCCTTTAACTGGGTCCTCTAGCCATCTTTTTCCTACCTCCACATTCTCTAACCTCATTGCTTAGACTTTACTGTTACCCAAGAGCTCTGGTGGCCTAGAGGCAAGAAGCTGCACTGCAATGTCAAAGGCACATGGTTCAAATCCACCAGCTACTCTGCGGAAGAAGGGTGGACAGTTTTCTCCTGCCTCTGAAAACCCACCTGAGGGTCAGCTGTGCACTGGTTCCAACTTGATGGTACACAACAAGAACAACAATAAACTATTAAATGTGAACTAATTAGAATGGGGGGGGGTAAGGACATAATGATCATTTTTAGAATTGACAAAAGCTTACTTTTCTTTTTAAACTAATATAGTTATTCTAAACCAGTTACATCTTGGGCTAGGAGCTGGGAACTTCTTAGAAAGTAAATTCTCAGGCCCTAAACCTGAAGAACTCAAACCAAAACTGAAGTAGAAAATTGAAGGGTGGAGATTAGCAATATGGCTTTTTAAAAAGTCTGTAGGTAATTCTGATGCACATGGAAGTTTCAAATTTGATTTGAGCATCACATTTTAAGACACAGGGAGCCTAGTGGTAAGGACTTGCACTGCCAACTCAAAAGTACACAGTTCAAACCCACTAGCTGCTCCATGGAGAAAAGATGGTCAGTCTCCTCCCCCGCGATTTGCTGCCTCTGAAACCTGCTGGAGGGTCAGCTATGAGTTGCGTCTGACTCAATATCAACAACAACAACAACAACAATAAACTATTATACTGTTGTTGTTAGGTGCCAAGAGTCAAATACAACTCACAGCGACTCTAGGAACAGCCAAGTTGAACCCTGTCCTATCCTGACCCATCCTCACCATCGCTGACACACTAGAGCCCAAAGACAGTATCAGGGGGCTCAGGTGGCCCAGTGGTAAGGAGTTGTGATGCCAACTCAAAGACACACTGTTTGAATTCACTAACAGCTTCATGAAAAAATGATGATCAATCTCTTGTAAATTTTAAAGCTTCTGAAAACTTGCTAGAGGGTCAGCTCTGAATCCGTTGCAACTCACCAGCACACAACAACAATAATAAACTATTTACTTCTAATGCCTTGGATGTAGGATCCGCAAGGGCACAGATTTTTGCCTATTTTTCTCACTGCTGTATCTTTAAGCACGTAGAACAGGACTTGACAGAGGCAGGTGCTTGATATATATGGTGTAGGATGAATGAAGGACCCACCCAGGGCCCCGTCTCTTCATCTAGTAAGTGAGCACACCTTTGGACCTAACCTGGTCAGGTTTTTATGAAGCTCACAGAGCCGAGTGTTAGGTGACCAGCCAGGTCCTGGAACACAGCAGGTATTCAGCAAGGGGTTGCCCTCACCCTCTACTGGTTTGGTACAGAGGATGAAATAGGCTGGGACATGTCCTACCTGGTTCCAGCCCAGGGCAATGCTCACCTCTCTTCGTGTGCCCTCTTAGGGAGTGGCAGGCAGGGTCTTACCTGGGTGGATATCTTGGAACAGGGACTTCCAGATGGTGTACTGCAGGGGACCTGTGTACTTGGAGGTCGGGAAGTCTTCATACGTCAGGTTGGTCTCATGGATCTTCCCCTTGAGCCTGGAGGGAAAACAGGAGAGGAGGCTGAATCCAGGGCTGGATTCCTGCCTCCAAACTAGCCTGCGGTCCAGGCAAATCCCTTCCGGGCAGCTGACAGAGTGATGAGGTAAAAGGAGTGAAGTCAGCCAGACCCAGATTTGAGTGCCTGCTTGTGTTACTAGCTATCTCTCTAGTTCCTCAGTTTCCTCATCTTTAAAATGCAAATTAATGACATCATCTGCCTTCTAAAGTTGTTTTAAGACATGCTGTGCAAAATGCTTAGCACAGTGTTTAGCGCATGGAATGTATTATTTTAGCTATCAGCATCGATCAGTATCTACTTAAAAAAAAAATCAACCCCTGTGAGTTGTTCTTGTTTCAAAAGACAGAGTAGAACCACCTCACAGGGGTCCTAGGCTGTAGATTTTGTGGGTCGGTGGGTTTGAACTACAAGTTTTTCATTAGAAGCTGAGTGTTTTAACCACAAAACAATAATTAAGTATTACAATCATTAAGGGCAGCTGTGGAGTCCTAGTCCATAGGGAGTGTACTTCTAACCGACAGCTAAGCCTCTCTGGTTCAAATCCACCAGTGGCTCCGTGGAAAAAGATGGGCAATCTGTTCCTGAATGATTTATGTTGTTGTTGCTATATGTTGTCGAATCACCTGCGACCCATAGAGACCCTGTGTACAGCACCTCTGAACCCTGGCCTGTGGCATGATTTATATAACCTTGAAAATTCATTGCAGGGTCAGCTATGAGTTGGTTTTGACCTAATGACAATGAATTTGGGTTTGAGTGGAGTCAGAAATACCTGAATTTTAATTTTAGCTCGACTGTTTACTAGGGAGCTCTGGTGGCCTTCAGGATAAAGAGTTGTGCTGCCAACCCAAAGGCGGGTGGTTTGAATCTGTCAGCTGGTCCACAGGGAAAAGATGAACAGTCTCCTCCTGTGTAATTTAGAGCCTCTGAAAACCTCCTAGAGGGTCAGCTATGAGTTGGTTCTGACTCGGCCCTACACAACAACAATAACCATCTAATAGATGAAGGGCCTTGGCCAAATGACCTACTTGTTCTGAACATCAGTATCTATCCATATACAATAGGAATGGAGTGGTACCTATGTCCTAAGAGGGCTAAGAACATGTAGTCATCAAGTGGATTCTAACTCATGGCCATCCTATGTGGGTCGGAGTAGAATTGCTCTCCATGAGGCTTTCTCTGGTTGCTTTTTCAGAAGTAGAGTCCCAGGATTTTTTTCCCCCCTGAGGCATATCAGGTGTACTTAACGACCAATTTTCCCATTAGCATCTAAATGTGCCTTATGCAATACTCAATGGTCAGAAGGGCTGTGACAACATAAGGCCTTAATACAGAATGTAAGTATTGTTGTTGTTCTTATTAGGTGCTTATGACTCATAGCAATACTATGAACAACAGATCTAAACCCTGCCCTATCCTGTGCCATCCTCATAATATTTGACATTCTTGAGCCTATTGCCACAGTCTCTGTGTCATTCCATCTTGTTAAGGGTCATCTTCTGTTTTGCTGACTCCCCCCCCATTTTTCCAAGCACGATGTCCCTTTCCAAAGAATAGCACCTCCTAACAACATACCCAAAGTATAAGATGAAGCTTCACCATCTTTGTCTTCAAGGAGAACTCTTGCTATACTTTCTTCAAGACATATCTTACGTTCTTTTGGCTGTTCATGAGATATTCAGTATTCTCCTCCAACACCACAAGTCAAAGGCATTTATCCTTCTCCTGTCATCCTTAATCATTTCTCAGCTTTGAGATGCAAAGCAAGTGACTGAAAAGGCCACGGTTTAAATCAGGTGTACCTTAGTCTTTAAACTGACATAATTTTCTTCAAGACTTTGGAGATGTCCCTGACAACAGGCTTTCCCAATGCAGTACGTCTCCTAATCTCCTGACTGCTGCTGATATCAAGGGTGTAGATTATGGATCCAAGTAAAGCAAAATAGCTAACAAATAGTGGTGAGTATTCTGTCTTCTTGATGTTGAGATGCAATTCATATTGAAGGCCGCAGTCCTTGATCTTCTGCAGTAGGTGCCTTCAGCAAACAAGGCTGTATCATCTACGTAAAGCAGGTTGTTGATGAGTCGTTTTCAGATCCTGATGACATATTCTTCTTCATAAAGTTCAGCTTCTCAAATGATTTGCTCAGCATACAGATTAAAAAGATACGGAAAAAGGATACAGTACTGACACACACCTTTTCTGATTTTAAAACATACAGTGTTCCCTTGTTTTATTTGAATGACAGCTTCTTGATCGAGGTGTAGGTTTCGCTTGAGCACAATTAATTGTTCTAGGATTCCCATTCTTCTCAATATTAGCCACAGTTTGTGCTATTGACAGGCAAATGCCTCTGCATAGTAAATAAAGCACAAAGAGACATTGTTCTGATATTCTTTGCATTCATCTAAGATCCATCTGACATTAGCAATGATGTTCCTGGTGCCACAGTCTCTTTTAAACCCAGTTTGAACTTCTGGCATTCTCTTTCAATGTACTGCTGCATCCCTTTTAGGATAATCTTCAGCAATATTTTGCTTGTATGTGATATGTTCAATGATTTCCATATTCTGTTGGATCACCTCTCTTTGTCATAGGAACAAATACAAATCTGGTCCAGTCAGGTGGCCAGGCAGCTGTCTTCCAAATTTCCTGGCACAGACTGGTGAGCTCACTCACCCAGGGCTGCACCAGTTACCTCAAACATGCCAGTTGGGATCCCAACAATTCCTGAGAATTTATTTTTTAGGTGTCTGAAGTGCAGCTTGACCTTCTTCCTTCATCACCATTGGCTCTTTATTGTATGCGTCTTCTTGAAATGATTTCATGTTAACCAATTCTTTTTGGTACAGTGACTTTGTGTATTCCTTCCATCTTCTTTTGAGGTTTCCTAGATCATTCAAGATTTGGCCCATAACATTTCTCTGTACTGAAACTCAAGGCTTGAATTTGTTGGTAAATTGCAGGAGAGGAGTGGCTGGTGGATTCAAGCCGTCTGCCTTTTGGTTGGCAACACAATTCCCTCCCACTGAGTCACTAATACAATATTAAACTGATAAGAACAGGTTCTACACTTGATCTTACCCAAAAGGCCGGGAAGCAATCACTAATACAATATATGGCATGCTGCTGCTTTTGTGTATCATCGAGTCGGAACCGACCCACAGCCAACCCTCCAGCAGGTTTTCAGAGGCAGTTAATCACACAGGAGGAGACTGCCCATCCTTCTCCTGTGGAGCAGCTGGTGGCCTCGAACTCTGTGCCTTTGGGACTGTAGTACAGCTTCTTTCCATAAGGCCATTAGAGCTCCCTGATGCAGCTTGAGGAATATTTTTAATATACAATAGTTAGTTATCCAAACAGCACATATTTATAACACAATATGATTAAAATATTAACCAATATTAGTATATGTAGGAGAAGCCTTGGCAATGCAGTGATTAAAGCTCAGCTTCTAACCAAAAGGTTGGCAGTTCGACTCCATCAGCCATTCCACTGAAAAAAAGATGTGGCAGTCTTATTTCACAAAGATTTACAGTTTGGAAACTCAGTGGGGCAGTTCTGCTCCCCTGGAGGGTAGCTATGTGTCAAAATAAAATCGATGGCAGTAAAATGTACATGCAATGATACGTAAGTACATAGGGAGTGCTGGTGGCTCAGTCCCTTGAAGACTGTGCTGCTAACCTAAAGGCTCTGTGTCTCTGGAGGTTCGAATCCACCTGCTGTTCTGAGGCAGAAAGATGGGCAAGTCTCCCCTGCAATTTACAGTCTGGGTAACTTGCTGGAGGGTCAACTATGAGTGGCAATAGAGAGAGAATTTAAGTACCTAAGTCCATAAAGCCTTTAGCCCAGACTCTAGCACACAGCCAGTGCCCTATAAAGGTTTGAATGAAGTTCCTGCAAACCACTCCTAGACCTCCACCCTCAGCACCCTGCATGGCTGGAGGAAGGGACGCCTGTCGAGGAAGCTCCTGGCAGGTAGGCCCTTACCGTTCAGACAGTGAGGCCACCCCGGCTAGGAAGGTGTGCCGGTCGGTCTCGGCCAGCCGCTCCTGCAGGATCTGCGCCCCCTCCTGCACTTTGCGCAGCTGCTGGCTGTAGCGCTGGACCTTCTGCTCGATGTCGGTCAGCATGCGGGCTGTGTCGGCCTCCAGCTCCTCCAGCATGGCCTTCTGCCTCTCACGCAGCAGTCGGTGCAGCCGCTCAAAGGCCTCGCCAATGGTGGTCCTCAGGCTCTTGGTGGAAGACTGGGGGAGACAGTTATGGGGTTAGGGCAAGGGGTGTGGGTAGGGAGAGCCCGGAGATGTAGAAAGGAGAGCTCAGGACTCAGTGGAAAGGGACACACTTGGTGGAAAAGATGATGCACGCACACAGTTATGAAAGAGCATGGCTCAATCAGGGTCCACAAATAGTTCTACATGGCTCATTACAGAACTAATGAGACGGTCCAGGTGAGACAATGAGCCTTGAAGTACAGAACAAGGAGCCAACTGAAAAGAGCTTAAAGACACTCAGGGGCAGATTGTTAGAACCTGGAGCTGGTGTGCGCTGGGTGGACAGGAGAGAAAGCTGTCAGGGATGGTGTGCAGTTTTGGTTTGAGGTGAGAGGGATGAGGACACTGGGATGGGGGGCAGTGGAGGGCTGAGTTCAGTCTGAGTATAATGAAGTCTTGGTGGTTGTTTGGGATTTTTTTTTAAAAAAATCATCCATGAGCTTAAGGGAGCTCTGGTGGCCTAGTGGTAAGAAACTGTTCTGCAAATCCCAAAGGCACATGGTTTGAACCCACAAGCTGCTCCACAAGGGAAGAATGGGCACTCTCCTCTCGTGCGATTTACTGCCTCTGAAAACCAGCTGGAGGGTCAGCTGTGGGTTGATTCTGACTCGATGGCACACAACATGGGCTTAAGAAGAAAGGATAGGGAGTTTCACTACTGTCAGCTTTATAAACTGCACAGTGGGCAGTTAGGGACACTGAAAGACACCTGTCCTGTTTCTTTTACCCCAGAGACCCTCAACTCACCCCTCTCCACACACACCCCAGGGAAACCAGAGCTGCTGATTAGGGCCTTTCGCAGAGCAGGTAAGCATGGACTTCCCTGGTTCTCTCTGCCTCCAGGGACACTGCCAGACCCAGGAGGGGATGGTGTGTGAACAGCCTGCATGAGAATGCTGGCTTTGGGTCTCATTGTGACAACTTTAGATGTCTAAGGTCTCTGAGCCTCAGTTATTTTCTCTGTAAAGTGGGCAGCAAAAACTCCAAGGTGAGACTGTTGTTGTTAGGTGCCGTCGAATTGTGTACAACTCGTAGTGGCCCTGTGAATCTTGCCCTATCCTGTGCCGTTCTCACTGTCTCCGACAGTCCACTGTCACAATCAGTGCCAATCCATCTTGTTGAGGGTTTTCCTCTCTTAGGTAGACCCTCCATCCTTACAAGCATGATGTCCTTCTCCAAAGACTGGTCCCTCCTTACATGCTTACGGAGTTCTCACCAATTCAATAAAGAATGTATGTTCATAAAACATGCAGCAGAGAAAGAGCTTGGTAGTTAAAAGGGGATCCGTTCCAGTGAGTACACTCCCGAAGTCTTCATCAAGGCTTCTGAGTTGGGGCCTGAAGGACGGCGGATGTCACCCAAGGCCAGGAGAACAGCCAGAGGAAACAGCACAAGTAAGGGCTTAAAAGGCGGGCCAGCAAAGCACAGAAGTCCAGCGTAGCTGCTGCCGTGTGTGGGGCCTGCCTCTGCAATTTCACTTTGTGGGATTCTGACTGGGAGTTCACGGAGTCAGAGACCCTGCTGTGTTCAGTGCCCAGGGCTCAGTGGGAGGCTTGACAAAGGCTCAATTAGGGCCTGTTCCCTCCCTGCGGCACTGGCAGCCTACAGGAAAAAGCGCTGGCAGCGGGCCAGCCTGCCTGCGCATGCCCACCCAGAGCGTCAAGCAGACAAAGAGGGGGCGGAGGAGGGGCTGCGAGGTGTGGCCAGGCTGCCTGTGGCCCCGGGAGGCCCCTCACCCACAGGGGCTGTGGCTTCTGTGGTGGCACACTGCTAAAGGGGAGATGGGCCTTTCTCACATCATTAGGAGATGCCCCTCAAAAGTTCTTCCTTGCCAACTGCAGCAGTATTTGGCCAACTGGCCACCTCTACTAACAAAAAGTTTTGGTTCTCCTCCTACATCTGTGGCTGCAGCCCTTGTTCCTGGGGAAAGCCTGGCCACTCTTCCCATGTCCTCGTCTGCACCCCCCTTCATCTTCAACTCCCACTACTTCAAGGCTGATATCAAAGCCCACTTTGTTAGCTCTGCTTATCTCTTGATCACTATAGTCATTGTTCCTGTGCCTCCTTGACATCCCTCCCCCAACAAGGGTTTGAAGTGCAGGGCAGACATCATTCCTATAGCAGACTCCTCAACTAGCTGGAGAGGAAGAGTTCCGTAAAGAAAAGAAACAGGGAAAGAAGAAAAAGCAAATGCTGGGGAGAAGAAATGGACCATAATGTTCCTAGAAGCTGCCATCTGTTCCTCATCATCTTAGGAAAAAATAAGCAACCAAATTTGTTGCCATCAAGTTGAGTCTGACTCATATATGTGACCCTATATGACACAGCAGAACAGTCCCACAGGGCTTAAAAGGCTGTAATATTTACAGAAGCTTGGTGGCCTAGTGGCAGCTGCAATCTCAAAAGCTTGTGGTTCAAACCCACCAGCTGCTCCTTGGGAGAGGAATGGGCAATCTCCTCTCATGAGATTAACTGCCTCTGAAAACCCACTGGAGGGTCAGCTAGGGCTCGGTTCTGATTCAATGGTACAAAACCACAACAACCACCCAAAATCGGTGCTTCTCCAGCGGTTCAAGTCCATCGTCAGCTCCACAGGATAAAGACAAGTAATTTCTTTCCATGTGATTTAATGCCTCTGAAAACTGATTGGAGGGTTAGCTATGAGTCAGTTTGACTTCAGGACAAAGAGTTTGAGGATTTTTGCATTTAAATGGCATGCCTTTCTCTCAGGGAATGACTAGTTGGTTAGAACCACCAACTTCTCTGTTTGCAACTGAGTGTCTAACTACTGTGCTAACAGAATTACCACACAGAAAGAAAAACTGACATTGTGAGGTCTCTCCAACCCACTCTACAAGTCAATTCCATGTCTCTGCCAACAAACTCACCACCAGAGTATTCTTCTGGTTCAAACTAGCTGATGCTTTGTTTGGTAGCCTTTCTTGGGCCCTTGATAACTAGTACGACACTGAATTCCTTAGCCTGCATTCAAAGCCCTTCTCAATCTGACTCCAATGTACTGTGAAGAGCCCTTGCACTGTGATTCCACCTGCCCAGAATGACCATTCCTCTTCACAACCCTTAAATGAACTGGCAAATTCCTATTCATCCTTCAAGACCCACATGGAATGCTACCTCCTTTGTGATTCCTCCCTAAGTTTTTCAGGCAGTATGATCCCCCAGATCACTTTGCACACATCTTACTTAATATATTGTCTTAAGTTTCATGTATGGGTGGATAATGAAGTCTTTCTTAGCCCTGTACCTCCCATCCCCCACTATGGCCATCATAGCTCAAAGCTGGCAATTAGGAACTGCTTGAGGGAGAAAGCAGAGAAGGGTCTTGCCTAAGACTGCTCTGCAGAGCTGGGTACAGGCTCCATCCCTTCCTTGGCTGGGAACCCAGTGTCCTCAGGACAAGGCAGGATGGGATGGAGCCAGGACGGACGGACAGGGAGGGGAAGTTCAGAAATGCAATCTCAGAGTAACAGCTATCCCTGCAACCCCAAGCATGTCCCAAATGTGTCCTCTAACCTATCTGGATTACTGACCACAAAGGCGTAGATCATGTGGAGGTCATCCCAGGGGACATCCCAGCCTAAGGTTGGAATCGGACAGCTTGCCTCTGACAGACCTGGAGAGTACATTTCCAGCTTGTCACTTAGTAGGTGGCCTAGTCTCTAGAAAGGCACACTGTCAACCTAAAGGCCAAGCCTCTGGTGATTTGAATCCCACCAGTAAGTCCTCAGAAGAAAGATGAGCAATCTCCTCTCATGCCATTCACAGCCTCCAAAACCCACTGGAGGGTCAAGTATGAGTGGATTCTGACTGAGCAGCAATGAGAGATTTTCTTGAGCTTTGGGGCCTCAGACCAGACACTCAATCTTCCTGTGCCACCAATGAAGTAGGGATAATGATTCATACCCCTGAAGGTGAATCCCCCTGCCCCCATTTATTCAGCTATCTACATACATGTGTGCCAGGTCCTATGCTAGATTCTGGGGAGTCCTGCTGTGCTGGAGGTGACATTCTGTGGGCTTCTTTGGACCATAAATGGGAAACATTTATGTTTCCCAGTAAGGAGAGAAGCTCTGTTCACTTGGTGCACGCCATTTCCTCTTGTTCTTTCTGGGCCAGAGCCCCCACACACCCCTCTAACCCTTCAATGTCGCAGCTAGCAGAGCAGCCTCCAGCCAGGCTCACCACATGCCTGGAAACAGGAGGAGGTAGATCAGCTTCAGAAAAACACCCAGCCAAGAATGCGTCACCCACTAGGGCCAACCAAGGAAAATACAAGGCCCGAGGAGGGAGAGCAGACCAGCCCCAAGGCTGGGCCACCGGAGGGGCAGGCGCCGCAGGAAAGCCGAGTCAGGCACCAGGTGAAATATGACCTCCAAAGCATCCATAGGCATTTCTTGTATAAACACCCTAGTCCAGACAGGAAGCGGGGCTGGGGAAACTGGAGGGGGAGGGCACCCCACAGGACCCCCCAGAGGCAGACAGATGGACAGGAAAGCGGGGGAAGAAGAGGTCAGTGAAGAAAAACAATGGGGAGGGGGGCACGTTGGAAAGAAGAGAATGCTGAGAAGAAAAGAGACCGTAATATTTTCCTCTCATGGAGACAGAGCCTTGCATTTGCTCCTCCTTACCTGAGAGCCATACAACCAACAGACAGAAGAGGAAACTAAGGCTTCGAGAAGCAACTGAACCAGAGCCTCGGGGCAGCTTCTCATCTGATGCCTGACAAGGGTCCTTTCCAGAGACACCCTAGAATGTTCTCTAAAGGAATATTTGTCCTGACCTTCCTATGACCCCACCCCCACCACAGGAGGTCCACAGCCAAGCTGGAGCAAAGATCTGGGTCACTGATGGCCTCTCCAGGCCCCAGAGTGACCTCCAGAGGCCCAGGACATTCCTAAGGCTCTGCTCCAGCCGCAGTATCTCTGCTTCGGAGCTGAGCCTCACTGAAGCCACCCTGTGGCTTGGCAGCTGGAGCCTGGTCCCCAGTGTTTGGTCCCAGAAAGGGAGGGCAGAAACCCATGTAATTCCTGACCACTTAGGGAGACTTCGTGGGGGCAGTTCTCAAGGCGAGAATCCTGAAAGTACATAAGCATTCTAAACTTCACGACCAGAAGGAACCAGGGCAGTCACCACTGCACAGCCAGGAAGACTGGTGGCGAGAAAAGTACACCATTTACAGAGGTGCATGATTTAGTGGCAGGCTCTACTCAGGTCAAGGCTTTTATTTCAGATCACTGTAGTAGAAACAAAGAGCCCTGGTGGAGTAGTACTTTCTGTGTTGTGCTGCTAACCAAAGGGCCAGCTGTTTGGATCCACCAGCTGCTCTGTGGGAGAAAGACAGGCAGTATCCTTCTCTAAAGATTTACACCCTTGGAAACTCAATAGAGGGTTGTCATGAGTCAGGATAAATTTGGTAATAGGGGGTTGGGTTTGGTTTGGGTGGTAGAGGCAAAGGAACTCTGGTGGCACAATGGTTTAGCAGTTGATTGCTAACCCTTAAGTTGGCAGTGTGAACCTCCCTGACACTTTGGGAGAGAGAGGTAGTAGGCTGCTTCTGTAAAGACCTACAACTTTGAAAACCCTGTTCTATAAAGTCACCGTGACTCAGACTGGCTCAATAGCAATGGATTTGGTTGAGGTTTGGTAATAGAGATAGCAAGGTTTGGCCCTACTTTTCAGAGTCCATATCTCCATGGCTTTAGTTAAAGAAGGGAGCTGATATCAGGACCACACCATAAGCCATCAAGAGTATGAACAGACACTTCACCAAAGAAGACATTCAGATGGCCAACAAGCACATGAAGAAATGTTCAAAATCCCTAGCTCTGAGCGAGATGCAAATCAAGACAACCATGAGATATCATCTCACTCCAGTAAGACTAGCAAAATTTAACAGAACAGCAAGCAACAAATGCTGGCG